CTTTTGAATAATTTTCCCTAAGTTGGTGAAGACTGAAAGTGATCATAAGAAGGACATCGAATGCTAGTTCATCCCCGACTTTCGCTCACTGGTCAGCCATCTGGGCCTTTTTTGACCTCTGAGTAGGCTAATTAAGCTTCACTCCAGGAATATAATTCTGCTAACGAAATGAAAAATTATGTAACAAGAAGAACATGTCATAGCAAAGCTTTTATGTCATGTGGCTACCAATGGCCTAAACTAATGCTCATTTTGTCGTCCTTGACTCCGGTCCTCAGGTTAGGGGAAGAGAAAAGACAAAGCCACAAGCATCCAAATGAACACAAGAGTGAAAGAGCCACCATTCCAAACTATCGTGCCAGTTTTCTATTGGCTGTTTATCAGTGGGGTGGATAGGGAGCCCACGCTTCATTCTTCTCTTTTTTAACTTCCTAAGACAGCCCTCTCAATTCAATTTTTCGATCACTCCATTCATTCATTTGATTTTCATTTTCATCTATTCTCAATTGGTCTTATCTTACCTCGTTTTATCACAGCTTGGGTTAAAAATTTTCGAGGCAACTTTTCCATTATTGGAAGGCAAAAGTTGACATGGGAAGGTGCTGTTCAGATTCTGATGAGTTCCTGCTGCTGGGTTTGGTGCTGGCTTTGGTCATGGCAATGATGTTCTTTGTCATTTGTCAACCCCATCCCAGGAGGAGAGTCGCTGTCTACCACTGCTACTGAAGTCTTTGAATCCCATTAGCAATTTTCAGCTAATTGTGCTTGTCAACCACCTTAGGTTTTGAAACCGCTTTAGCGTACTAAATAGATAAATGTGACTTTGCTCAAGATGGTGATCCGTTTCTTCTTCTTTTCTATTGTTCGCTTTTCTTCTCTTATTCAAAGTCAATTTATACTACCATCTAGTTTTTTTTTTTTGAAAGTTACTACCATCTAGTTTAGTAAGAAGCATTCAATTTCCCAGGTGTAAGCATTGTAATGGCCAGATGAAAGATCCTACTGAAATAAAGTCCTCTCATTTTTGGACTTTATGATTTGTTTGTGTGTTACAATGATGTTTGTGGCTACAAGAGAGATCCAGTTTAGCTCTTAGGCGTCAAATATTTGCAGATTAGGAACCAGGATTGTAAATGAAGGTAGATTTCGAGTAGACATTGAACAGCAGCAAATCTAAAAAGAGAAGCAAAGAAAAAACACTGTCCAGTACTGCAGTATTAAATAGTAAAAATTATTCAATAAGGTCCCTAGGTTCTGATTGAAGTCCCCTACACAAATTCTTCCTTTTTTGTTTAAATTCTTTTGGGGTGCCAAATAACCATAAGCTTTGCAGACTGCAGTGATCTAGTAGCATAGCCCACAATGATGAAGTTTAGGTCGAGTCTTGAACATTCATGAATTATGGCCTCAAAACTCTCTTTCAGAGTAGTGAGATTCATACGGTCAATATTCTACTACCCATCAAGTTTCCTGAACTATAAAAATCTTCCTTCGTTGTTCACCTATTGTTTTCTGGACTTATGGTGGTTTCCGAAATTATTGAGGCACATTATTGACATCTTAATTGTCTGGTCTGTGATACAGATTTATAGGCTTGCTAATTTTGTAGCCCACATCCTTGTCCAGGGGCAGTGACATACTGACATGTAGCGTTGTGGGGCCATTTCCCATCTCCCTCACTCCTGTTACTGTGTCTTCTGCTGTGGGGCAAAATGGTGCTGTCCCTGTCTCTCTGTTCCTTGATGCGACTGTTCTTGCTTGGTCCTTCCATGGCTATCTTCTTTCCTTTTGCATCTGACTCCTTTCCTGTGATCCATGAGTCCCGCACCACACTATAGCAACCCCAATCATCCTTGATTGCAACATAAATAACGGCCTAGATTAACGACCTGCAAACTTATTCTGAAACAGCGCCCTTCGGCAGATCAGCGTTTTGCAGAGTTGCAAAGATCCCAGTCTCCTACCGCTTTCCCAGTGTCATAACGACCCTCCAACTTACTAGTTCCAGAATTAAGATGAATGGACGATTACAAGCACAAAATCTCATACAAACCTGCAAGCAAACCTCAGCAAACATCTGCCTAATTAATAGGTTTCCATCCTTGTGGCTTTCTTTTCGTAACATCAATTGCTGTAATCAAGTTTTGGAGCACCATCATACATGGAGAATTCCGGAAATATTGAGGACCAAGTGGAGAGAGCGGGTCCACTCTACAGCCTTCTTGATACATCCATCCATCATTTGATACCAGATCATCAGGATATCTGATGAGTCACGAGATCTACAGTATAATAGGCTATCATTCTATCTTTATCAACCTCCCATTGAGAAGAAAAGAGTCGAGAGTCCAGGATAGACATATCGAGCAAGGTTCAGTCGCAGGTTTCTGATGAAGAGCCATGTCTGTCCGCTGTACACCCCATTCAACAGCGTATCATGCAGTATCCACTGTGCAATTCAACGAACTGGGAATGGAAGGCAACATAATTTTTGGGAAGAGAAACAAGTTGACGGTGCAATTCCAAGTAATACAGAGACATTGACACTCGAGCAAGGATGGCTGCTGCGGATAACGTTGCTTCATGGTGATTGAGCATAGCCAGTGTTTGGGAATCAAATTTGAAGCATGGATGAGCTAACAAATGCAATTTTACCTGCTGGAACCTGATTGTGATAACAGTGTATATTTTAGTCAACGCTTCACAATCTCCTTAGATTTTGCCTTAAATGGCAGCTTCACGTACATCAACCTCAAATCCTCATCCTTCAGAGAGATAGGGATGATACTACTATATACTAAAAGTTGAAAATGGTTTTGAATCCTTCTGGATTATTATAATTTACAATTACCAGGGCTTGTATTCTCCTCTCCAATGCCAACCTCTTACCTCTCTAATACTTCTTGTTCTCTCCCAGTCACAAAATTCCTTGGGTTTTGGGCAGAGAATTGTTGAGGTTTTGTGAAAAAATAAGAATGGCAAAGGGGGTCTGGGTGCCGGTGGTGGAGGGGTCACCAAGCACCCATTCCCTCCTCTCTCTCTCATGCATCCTCCTCCCTGTATGCCTGACGTTCCCGGTTCTCTACTCTTCTCCCTTTCCTTCTTTCTTGCATTTCTTCCTTAAGGTCCACTACAACGTTGTTTTGGACGTAACTTGGAAAAATTAGAAACCCAGCTGAATTGGAAGTTGTCATGGGGCTATCATACAGAGGTTTCCAACTCAGTTTTTAGTAAATTAGAATTTCACTTAACAAATCCTGTCAATTGCGACCCATCACCCATACAGGTTATAAGTGATGAAACTCGTCCAAAGCCAAATCTCATAACAGATCTCTCTTGAGATTTCATGTGAAAAAGTTGACCTCTTCTTTTGACCTGCAGTACTCTTTGCCGAAATGCCTACGTTACACCATCTAAGAGCCCCATCAAAGCCTCCTTTATATAAATTATAGATGTTAGTGGTATAGACTATAGATATGCATGTACAAACAAGAAAAGTTCCACATTGAACTTCAATCCTCACCGTTCTTTGCCAGTACAATTTCAGAAATTTACCTCGTTCCTAGGTTCATTATTTGCTATCTTTTTTCCGAAGTCATTAATTGATCAGAGAAAGGACTTATCATATAAGTAATTAGACCTGTCAATATGGACCGGGCTGGCTCAGCCCGGCCCTAGCCCTTGTGGGCTGAAAAAATATGGACCAGTCCGGGCCAGACCATATTTTATATGAGTTACAAAATGTTCAGCCCAGCCCACCCCTTGCTAGCCTATGGGCCGAGCCGGGCTAACCCATTTTTTTTAAAAAAAATTATTTCTACTACTCATCAATACAAGTATACAACTATACTATGATTTAGTCCATAAATTAAATAATAAAAATATATTACAAACAAATAAATTACATCAAAAATAAATAAGCAAATACATTACATCAAATATAAATAAAATTTCAAATTTTTAATATTTAGCCCACCCCTTGTTAGCCTATGGGTTGGGTTGGGCCAACCCATTTTTATTTTTTTCAAAAAAAATTAATTTTTAATATTTTACTTGATAATTTTTTATTAATAAAATTGTTCTATGATTTAATTCATAAATTGAATAATAAAAACATGTTACAAATAAATAAATTACACCAAATATAAAAAAATAAATAAATTACATAATAAATTTAATTTTTAACACAACTACTATCTTATAAACATAAGTATATAACCAAATAATAAAATTTCAAGACTCATTTATATCCTCCTCAATCTTCATTCTCAAGTAAAACATTTAATCTTATTTAGACAACAATGATGTCTCAAGGTCTGAATTATTATCAATTTATCATCTAACATTCATTACCATAAAAGAAAAGAGATAATAAGTTTTAATTTAAATTAAAATTGTTAATTTGACAAGTGAAGATTAAAGACATTGAAATATTAAAAAAACAATACTATTGTAACTAAATTATTGATTTTTCATAATTAAATATATAAAATATATAAAATTATTAAATTAATTAAAATTATTTTTTGGCCCATGGGCTGGCCTTGCCCCAGTCCATATCAGCCCACTGATTTGGTGGGCTGGCCCATTTAAACCCGGTTCAAATATGGGCCAAAAAATTTCAACCCAACCCACCCAATATTTAATAAAAAATAAGCCAGCCCTATAAGCTCGGCCCATTTTGACAGGTCTACCCCCAACCACGACTTAATTTTTTTTGGACCCGTCAGGCTGGCCCATACCAACCCGGGTCAGCCCTCGGGCCTAAACGGGCTACCCCGTTTAGGTCCGATTTTAATATGGATTTAAATTTTTAAGCCCGGCCCGTCCCATATTTTAAAAAAATGAGTTGACCCGATGGGCCAAGTCCATTTTGACAGGACTATAAGTAATCTTCAAGAGAGCCACCATTAGCAGCTCCTCAGCACAAGGAAGCTGCCAATCAACAAATTGCAAGTAGAACATGCATGTCCAGCAAACGCTAATAAGCACAGTCCATGAGAAAGTTGAACTTTATGGAATCACATCTTCAACTAAATAAAACAGCTTATATTCAGATATAATCCTTTGAGTCACTGTATAGTGTTCAGATTCACCAGGTCAGTGAAAAATAACTTAAAGTAGGAACAATTGGCAGCTCCAGCACAGATCAGCTGGATAAAAGCTTTTCAAGAGCTAGGTTTTCATCACCACCAACAGCCTCTAGAGTACTTCTCACCAAACCAACAGCAAAACCCATTTCCACAAGACGTTGCACCTGTACCCATCAAATTCTAGATTAGAAAATTTAGTTCATTAAAAATTAAGATTGTCAACAATGACCTGTTACCAAGAACAATTCAAAGAATGTGTCTGCTACAAGGCAAATGTCTACTGTTAAAAACGATGCCACCTCTGAGTTTACTAAGAGCATACTTAGTAAGAAAATATTGGTTTGCTTCAATGAATATGTAGATACACAAGGAATACAAACCTTTTCCTCAAGGCCTAAAGAAGAGGCCTTGGCAAAACTTTCTGTCCAGTAACGAGCTGTACCAACAAATGTCTGATATTCTCTAAGATACTGCATTATTTAGGGAAAAAAGAAGTCAATAACTAGAGTGATAAAAACTTCACCGCAAATGATTGAAAAAGAGGCATTAAAGCTGGACTGACAGCATACATAGGCATAGTAATCTACAAATTATTGCACTTTCAAATAAAGCCAATAGAAATAAACAAACAAGAGATTTTTTGGTTAAGAAGCATATAGAAAACCCATCCAACAAACCAAACCTGTTGTGCTACTACAGCATCTTGAGGATCATCGGGTTCAGGTGCAGAAAGCAAAGCTTGAACAGAAAGAAGAGCTGTCTTAAGAGTGAGTGCAGGGCTCCACTGGTCCTTCAAGATATCCAGGCATATCGCCCCACTCTGACTGCTAATGTTTGGGTGCCTTTGGTGGGTAACAGAGCACAAGGAAGTTTCAATTAATCACCGTCAGAAAATAATTGATCACTCACCATTTTATGCTTGTATCACGCACAATATGTATAATTTGCTAGACATGGACTCCTAGAGGCAGCATATCAATTCAAACATAAAATTTAATGGCATAATGCTCTCTTGAATTATTTAAGATAATTCAAATAAGCATTTATTCTTCCATTAAGTTTAATCAAGCCTCTATACTTTAATTTTAAATCAAAAAAACCCTTATGATTAAATGTTGACTAATTGCAACTTGTTAAAATGCCACTTGTCATCTTTATACCAATGTGACACTGAGTTGGAGGGTGAAAATGCCACATGGCTATGTCATTATTTCACATCGACATACCACATCACCATCCACTATGACATGTCAGAATGCTAAGTCAGCATCACAAGATATAAAATGATGTGATATTTTGACTAATAATAATTAGTCAACTGTTAGTCATAAGTGCCTATTTGTTTCAACAGCATGCAATCAGCAACATTATACATTTTGTTTTTCCATTTCTCCTTTCAGGCATACCTATCAGGCAGTAGAAGACTGGAAACCCTTTATACAGGTTATTTAAAGTGCTTGCTCCATAAATGAGGGGAAAAGAGAGAAGAAACAACTTTGATGCAAACCTAATGTATTACTACAACACAAAACCATGAATTTCCAAAACAGAAAAGGGTTCAATCAGTTTTAGCTATGCAATGAGTAAGAGCAAGAGAGAAATAAACAATTGTGCATAGTCAGGGTTAGATCCCCAAGTCAAGGTTCATCAAATTATTTCATCACCACAAAAAGATAAATAAATGTGCTAATTATGGATAGTTTCATCCAACCAAGTCATAAGGGACCAATGCACAGCAAGAATTGATCAATAAAAACAGAACCTAGAAACTAGGATTGGGACCACAACTCGCACAAGAGCAATGAACCAAGTCTTCTGCACTCCCTTTATTGCATAATAAAGTACAACCTTTATCAGTGCATCAATCGCAGGCACATTGTAATGCATTAAAACCAGTTCGACTATCATGCATGATTAACAGATTAAAAACAAATATGCAGATAAAATAAGACGATGCATATTTTTCCTACCAAACTTTGGTCACAAACTTCATTTTGGGAGGCTCAAACGGATACCCATCTACAAAATAGAAATCAATAACAAACATATATCAGTAATCAATTATCCATTCTATTTCAAACACAGCTAAATCTCCTTAAACTATCAGCCAATTGATAGTATTTACCTACATTCCAGTCAAAAAAACAATCCTTCAACACTTTATATGCAAAGCTTAACTTCCCCACTTCATAATATAAGCTCAGTTGAAAATCAAAACCTGGATAATAATTTCATCCTTTTTCTGAAAAGCTAAACAAAAAAAAAAAAAAACCTTTCCCATCAAAAAACCCAATACCCTCAGCCCAATTCTCAACTCAAAAAACAAATAAATAAATAAATAAAGGTTTTCACTTTTGAACAGAAAATAAGATATCTAACCAGAAACCAAAACAAACCCATGAAAGTTAATGTAATGAAAAAGATGAAATTGAGCAAGCTAAAAGTTTTGAGTCGTAAATTACCAGGCAATGCGATATCGATTTCAAAGGAGCCTCCTTCATAGGGAGTGCCGAGAGGGCCAGGAATGATGCCAGTCAAGCGAGCAAGATTGTCTGATTTAGGAGAGACCTTAATGCCCGAAGTGTCTTTTTCTCTGCTACATTCTTGTAGCTCTTTTTGCACTCGAGCAAAGTCTATCATCTTTTCAATATTCGTTCTCTATCAAACCCTAAACCCAATAATAATTTGGGAGAAGAGGAAAAAAAGAGGTCACCAAATTGAAAAGGGAAACTGGAAGAGCCAAAGAATAATTAAAGCGTTACCCGTTAGTCTTTAGTCTTTAGTCTTTACTCTCTCTGTGTCTCTTTAAATACGTTTATTTTTCCTTTTCTCCTCCTGCCCTTTTGTTGTGAGGAATAAACAAAAAAAAAAAACAAAAAGGTCGCAAAGAAAATTAACGGCAGCTGTTGCATTTGCGCCAAATCTTAGCGGTAATTTTATCCTCTCCAATCCGTTACAGTATTTTTGAACTTCTCAAAACCACAACAGTAACTACATTTTTTTAAAAAAAAAGGTAAACTACAATCCTTTTTAAAACTAAAATCTAAAAACTATCGCAAGATAATATATTTAAAATATTAAATTTTTTTCTTGATATGTCTTAAAAAATATGAATTTTGAGTTTAAATAAATATACTTTTAAATGATAAAATGTAATATCATTGTTTGTTAATACTTAAATATTCAAATTTTCCGATGAGAAATTATAGAGATATTGTTTTGAATAGAGATAACAATGGATATATTATTTTTGACTACCGAAGAATATTTGATTAGGTTATATGTGTTTAGACTTCTTATAATAAGATTTAAAATACGTTCGAATAGGAAATTTACTATCTTGAGTTGGGATATCATCCCCTTGACTCTAAACTAGTAAGTATATTTTATATTATAATATTTATAATTAAATGTAAAAATTTTGTATTATATTTTATATTACAATATCTTTCTCTTTTCATCATGATATTAGAGCCATTAAAGGTTCTGTAGAGGTAGATTTGGGAGATCATAGTAGCTGTTTAGTTTGTTACAGCTTTCCTTCATCAATCATCCTTCTTTCAACTCTTCAGTAAGTTAAGACATCTCTTCTTTTACACTTTGATCTTCCATATTTCCTAGTGAATCATATCAGAGTCAATTGAATCGAGACCTCAGGTCTCATAAACTTCTCTTGAAGTGAGATCACAAGTATCTCCCATTAAAGTTCCAGAGTCTTCATAAGACTTGGATTGCATTGATCACCTAGGATCATTGTGATCACTCCCAACTAACCACAGACAATTATCTTTCTTGGGGATCATTTCTATTAGCGTTGTCAATTAGAAATAAGATGAGGTTCATCAATGGTACATTACCAAAGCCTGAAATTGCGGATCTTATTTACCCTTCCTGGATCCGATATAACAATTTGTTGGTGGCATGGCTTTTAGAATCTATCACACAACCTATAGCATCCATAATATTTTATATGGATTCTACAACGAAGATCTAAAATACACTTAAGCAAAATTTTGCTCAGTTCGATGAGATTGGAGTTTGTAACTTACAATACACATTAGAGAACATAACACAGGGGTCAAGGACTGTTGATGCTTACTTTATAAAACTTAAAGGAGTCTGGGAAGAGCTGAGAAGCTTTCGACCTTTACCACATTGTGACTGTGGTAAATGCAATGCAAGCTGTTTCAAAAGATATGCCGATCAATATCATAAAGACATGGTACTTAGATTCTTAAATGGTCTGAATGACTCTTTTTTACAATGAGGTCACAAATCATTCTCTTAGATCCTATATCAAGTTTAGATAAAAGTTATAGCATAGTTTTAAGGGAGGAAACTCAAAGAGCTTTGATCGTTCAAGCACAACCTACCTTAGAATCATTTACTATGTTGACTGTTAATGAGGCAAGCAAAAAGGCTAGAAAAGACTTACAATGTACACGTTGTGGCAAAAAAGGTCACATCAAGGAGAAATGCTATAAGTTGGTTGGATTTCCTGAAGATTTCAAGTTCATTAAAACTAAGACAAACTTTAGGAAAGGGAAAACTGTGGCAAATAATGTTACAAGCATGAATGACAGTCAATTGTCAGGAATACAATCAGAATAGAGTGATGAATTAGTTAGCAATGGTCTTATGTCCCAAATGTCAGCAATCAAACAACAGGTCAACAAGCTCATGGAGCTCTTTAGTGAAAATGGGATCACTTGCAATGATGGTAAAATTTCTTCATTAAAGAGTCCTCAACAAAAACCATCTTTGATCAACTCTACCTTTGAGGGTATTGTCTTTAATTATCCATGTTTCAATACTCCAAATAACTTACCATATAGTTTAAAACATGTCAGTCGCCTTGTGATTAAACAAGATAGCTGGATCTTGGACTTTGGTGCTATAGACCACATTTATCACTCTTTAGACAGATTCACTTTTGCTAAACCAGTCAATAATCACTTTGTACACTTGCCAAACAATGGTAGAGCTCTTGTTACTCACATAGGAACTGTTAGGATAACACATCTGTTGATACTTCAAAATATTCTATGTGTTCCTAGCTTTAATTTTAATCTCATATCAGTGAGTGAATTAACCAAATCAAAGAGTTCATGCCTTTTTTTCATTGACACATATTGTGTTATTCAAGACCTTCCATCATGGAGAGTAATTGGAGTTGCTAAGGTGTCATTCCAGTCTCTACCTGATGCAGGATAACCAAGTTGAACAAGACTTCTCTCATTTTTGTTTTAAAAACTTTGTTAAGAATCTTTTTGTCCTTTTTGTAAATTCCTCCAAGCCAAGATACACAGATTTTGATATTTGGCATTTTAGATTGGCGCATGCTTTAATGGAAAGAATTAATGTATTACATCAAAGTTTTCCAAAAATTAGTTGTTCAAGTGATTTGTTGTGTGAAATTTATCCAATGGCAAAGCAAAAGAGACTGTCATTCCCAATTCATGTTTAAAACACCAAAGCAGCTTTTGAAATAGTTCATATGAACATATGGAAACCATATGAAATTCCTACTTTAAATGGTCATAGATATTTTTTACTTATTGCTGATAATTTCTCACATTTTACTTGGATATATTTGATGAAAAGCAAGTCAGAAGTTTCATCAATTATACATGTTTTCACTAACCTTGTTCAAAATTCATTTGACAATTTTAGAAAGTGTTTGAGATCAGACAATGGTAAAGAGTTTGAATTCATTGATTTTTACAATAAAAATGGAATTGTTCATCAATTGTCCTGCACTGGTACACCACAACAGAATGGTGTTGTAGAAAAAAACACCAACACATTCTAACTGTGGCAAGAGCATTAAGACTTTAGTCAAATGCTCCACTTAGGCTCTAAAAGGATGCAGTTTTAATTGCTATACATATAGTAAATAGAGTACCAACTAGAGTTTTATAGAACAAGTCACCATATGAAATACTTTTCAAAAAGCTTCTTTTATTCAACCACTTCAAATTATTTGGATGTTTGTGTTTTGTTTCCACACAAACACAACATAGGAAGAAGTTTGATAGCAAGGCTAGTAAATGTGTTTTTATAAGGCATCGAAATCATATCAAAGGGTACAAAGTATATGATCTTGAAGCACAAAGAGTCCTAGTATCCAAAGATGTTGTTTTTCATGTGGATACCTTTCCTTTCCACTCTTTAAAGCATGATAGACAGGATATTACATTTCATCAAACACCTAGTATACATGCTACTTCTTTTGTCATTTTTAATTCAAATCTTGCAGATTCACATTTCCTTGACCAAACTCAAGTTGAATTGTGTCCTAATGAGTCTTCACCAGCTTTAGAGTAGCCTTCCACATTAAGAAATGATGAAATTTCTCAAAATTCACCACCTAGTAGTAGTGTGCCTAATAGTGACAGTACTAATCAACTTGAAACAGACCATACCATCGATTCAATTCAGCCAAATAGGAAAAGTACAAGAATGAAAAACATACCACAGTACCTAAAAGCATATCCAATTGATCTACCTTCTCATACTAGTAATGTTACGTCACATCCTATATCGAAATTCATTTCTTTACATAATCTGTCACGAGCACATAAAGTATTCACTATATCTTTGTCAAACATACAAGACTTTACATCTTATCATCAAGCAATGACTCATTCACACTAAAGAGATGCAATGGTAGTTAAACTAAAGGCTTTGGAAGAAAATGACACTTGGAGTATAGTACCATTACTTGCTAATTGTCATACTGTTGGTTGTAAAGGGGTCTATAAGACCAAGTTGAATGAAAAAGGTGAAGTAGAAAGGTACAAAGCAAGATTGGTTGCCAAAAGGTACAATCAAGTATCTAGTTTTGACTACCAAGAAACCTTTAACCTTGGGGCTAAACAATCTACAATGAGGATTTTCTTTGCATTTGTAGCTACAGACAACTGGATGCTAACTCAGCTACATGTAAACAATGCATTTTTATATGGAGATTTAAATGGAGAAGTTTACATGGAGCTGGTTGAGGGATATACAATTAAGGGGGAATATCTTAATGGATCAAAGTTAGCATGTAAACTCCACAAATTTTTATATGGGCTCAAGCAAGCTTCAAGGCAATGGAATGCTAAATTGACATCATCCATTATCCACTATGGATTCAAACAATCGTTATCAGACTATTCATTGTTCATTATGAACACAATTGATGGTGATTTTGTAGCTTCGCTAACATATGTTCATGACATTCTGATTGGCAGCAACTTTGCTCAAGTTGTAGTTGTAGTCAAGGAACACTTGAGTTCATAATTTAAGCTTAAGGATTTAGGCACAACAAAAAATTTCCTTGGTCTTGAGATAGCAAGATCACCATAACGAATTTCAATATGTCAAAGAAAGTACACATTTGATTTGCTGGAAGAACGTGGTCTACTTGGAACTAAGCCTATGTCAACACTTATTGATTACAATGTAAAGTTAAGAAAAGCAAGCAAACAAGATGAATTAGCAGATCCCACAAAGTATAGACAGTTTGTTGGAAAGCTTCTTTATTTGACATTTATAAAGCCTAACATATCTTATGTAGTGGTAGCTCGAAGTTTAATTGAAGCAAAGTGTAGATCAATGGCAACCACATGTTGTGAGGTAATCTGGATAAAAGCTTGCTTTTTGATTTTGGAATTGAACACAAAGGTACAATAAAGCTCCACTATGATAATTAGCCATCCATCTATATTAGCAGAAATCCAATTTTTCATGAAAGGATAAAGCATAGAGAGATTAACTGTCATTTTATCCAAAAAAAGATTTTGAATGGTATGATTAAACCAATTTATGTACCAACAGAATTACAAGTTGCAGGTGCATTCACTAATGCTTTGCAACCTGGACAATTTCAAAGATTATT